TTCCTTTTATTTTTCCTTTTATTTTTCCTTTTATTTTTCCTTTTATTTTTCCTTTTATTCTTCCTTTTATTCTTCTTAATTTTTGTTTTAGTTTGGGTTTCCTTTTATTTTTCCTTTTATTTTTCCTTTTAGTTTTCCTTTTATTTTTATTTTAATTTGGTTTTTATTTTATTTTTCCTTTTATTTTTATTTTACTTTGGGTTTCCTTTTATTTTTCCTTTTATTTTTCCTTTTATTTTTCCCTTTTTAAATTTTAATTATTTTAATTTTATTTTGGCTGTTATTTTACTTTTATTTTTATTTCTTTTTCTTTACTTTGACAATCCATTTCTTTTGATTTATTTCGCTTTTCCCAAGCCCTGCTGCATCCGCACGTCGTCATCCTCTAGCCGAGCTCTGTCTCCGAGCCCGCGTTATCTGCGGGGCGCGGCGCTGAGCGGACGCGGCTCCTCCGCAGCCCCGAGCTGCCGGGCCCGTGTCACCCCCCGGCTGATGCTGGGCGATAAAACTCCAGCCCGGGGCTCTGGAGCGGGGATTTCTCCCTGCCAGGGAAGGAGGGATCTGCGGCAGATGGTGTGAACCGCCGGAAAGCCGCGCTGAATTGCCAATTAAGTGTAATTAAAACGGGGTTCGTTTGTTTCTTTGGCTGCCGGCGGCGTCGCTTCCCTTGGTCCTGGTTCCTTCCCTGCTCCCAGGAGCTGCCCGCGGATCCGTGGCACCTGCAGGAGGTGCTGGCGCTTCGAATCCACCCTGCCTGGGGGGCTTTTCCCAGCCAGCATCCCACTCCGGGCCGGGAATGGGAGTTCCATCCCAGGAGGAGGCACTTCGGGGGGGTTATTCTGGTTTTGTTTGAAATGGGGCTTGGAGCAACCTGGGATGGGGAAAAATCCCTGCCTGTGGCTGTGGGGTGGAGCTGGATGAGCTTAAAGATCTCTTCCAAGCAATGCCATATTCCATCCTTTCCCAGCTGGATCTCAGCACCTTTCCATCCTTTCCCTGGTAGATCTCAGCAGCTTTCCATCCTTTCCCTGGTAGATCTCAGCACCTTTCCATCCTTTTCCAGGAGGATCTCAGCAGCTTTCCCAGCTGGACCTCAGCACCTTTCCTCCCTTTCCCAGCTGGATCTCAGCACCTTTCCTCCCTTTCCCAGCTGGA